GCTGGTCGGCAAAACTGAATTCGAGCTGGTCAAGTCCAAATATGAACTATTGGTAAGCATGACTTGCACGAAAAATATTTTTATAACTTCTCTCTTAGTAGTTTTACTTTTAATTGCGTTACATATTATTGCGCAATAGTAGTTTCCTATTATATTTTACTATTTTCATGGATCTGAATTGTACCTTATGTATGCATTAGACTCTAATAATCTAACATAACTGGCGAATAATGAATATTACTTTATTGTCCCGTTCCAATACCTATTGGATATAGAAAACGTGACGTCATGTCTTATATAATTTGACAGGTGAACTACATTGAAGCTATGAAGATCGTGCCAGCAGTGAAGCTTTACTACCTGTCTCCGGAGACTCACGCCAAGTTCATCGAGTCCCGCAACAAGGGCGACGCTAACTACAACATGTTGGACACCAGCGGAGTATGCTGCATGCGCCCAAGGAAGAAGAAGGAATAGGAACAAACTCTCGACTGATAAACCATGAACTATTACGTATTATTCGCGAACATTATTATTTTTATTTGTCCCAAATTCATTTACTGAATAAAGTACAATTTTTTTTTACATTTTTTTTATTTATTTTTGTGTGATCGAGGATCACACGGTTCGCGCAAGTTGTGGTTCGAGTGGTACGAATTGCTGCTCGGTTCGAGCTTGGACTTTTCCGGTATTCGAAGTCTCAATAAAACCACCGAACTATTTGTGAACCACGCAGAGTTGTTCTGTGCGAGATTCGGTATGCGATAGTTAGCAGAGAGGTTTTATAAAGACCTGCTGCTAATACGTGCAGGTTGACAATGACAGTGGCAAAGTCAATTGTGCATTATTTTTCATGAAGTCTAGAACTGAGGTTACCTTTTCACCGCCACGCCATATCGGTATTCCTATGCCCTGTACGCCAAGCCCGAAAATCTTAATTAAAGGTGTATCAATAAAATACATAAAAGTAATGATTTAATAGGTTTATTTTGTATTTTTCTGCGACCTGTTTTTTGTCGAGTATAGCCGTCGTTGGCGCACAGGGCACGCTTGCTCATGTCGGCTATAGCCGACATTGGCGTTCAAAAGGTTAATGTATCGCAATAGTACCTACTCTACTCCTATACTTAAACTCTTTGTCCTACTCGTCCACGCTGACTCGCAAGCGCGGTCGCGAAATATCAAACATTCGTATTAACGTACAAAACGCAGGTAACACGTATAAGGTGGAAGTAGCATATTCCGTGAAGTAGCAAGATAGCGTATCATATTACGTTTGACGTTTTGCGACCGCGTCTACTAATCAGTCAGCGTGTAGGTACGTAGGCATAGTACATATAGGCTCACCATTACCAACTGCTAAAAGTAGATTTAACATATCTATAGAATAAAATCAGACGTTACTTTCCGAAAATCTAAGCAAACTAACTGTTTTTATTCCGCTGCGCGTTGTAGGAATGAACTTGCAGCATGCGGTATGCAGCACCGCAGCGGGAGCAAATAAATGCTCATACAGCAGAGATGCAATATACACGACACGCAACAAACGACTCGAACCACACTATTTCGCTTCTCCACGGAGCATCCTTAGTACTTAGTTGTTGACCCGGCGGCTCCCGCGACGACTCCGAATTGAGAAGTAAGAGAGTGGTTTGTTGCATGTCGTGTGTGTTTTATGTTGCATCTCTGCTGCATGAGAGTTTATTTGCGGGTGGGACGGCGGTGGTGCATTAAACTATATATTTACCTAGTTGTTAGTGTGAATATTAGCATTTAATCTACTAGTCTTTAGGGATGATGGTATGTTATGTAATTTTTCATATCCTTGTTCAAGGGAATGATGTAGGTATGTACCTACTCGTATCTTATCTTACTAACGTTGGTTATGCCCTAAAAAAAGGTCACTTGTGGTGTAGTTGTGGTTGCTACCGAATATGTGAACGCTTTTTCCTAAAGGGACATCAGAGGTAGAAGTTTGATAAATTATGTATTGTTCTCTTGTGGTCAGATAATGTGAAATATTTTTCACACGGTCTGTAGTTTGCACGCCACTCCATGAATTAGATTATAATCACGGATCATGTATTATTATCAATATTTATTTCTGTGTTCACACAACACCAATATCAGGGTAAACCCATCGTAAGAAACATAAGCTATCATTGATAATGGTGTACCTATATAATCCCAAAATTGTAAATATCAGATTTTTTTATAATCTATCAATCATTGTTGATATATTTAAGTGGCAATTTTGCAAAAGATATTTTTTCAACCCAATCCCATCATGCATGAATATACAAAAATATACCTACGATAAGCGAAAGGACCTCCTTGTTTATTAGTGGCAGGTCTAAATGTAGCCTCCTCCTCTTATAAAGTCGATAAAAATACGAAACGTAGAACTGTACCTAATGTAATCAAATAGTCTTAGTGTACTTTAGGTATTATGTACAGTACCTACGGCAAAGTTTGCGGTAGTAGACTTTTTAACCAAAATCCTGTGGCACAATCGCTATACAAAGCCCTGTTTTCCCTGCGGTCGCTCACATCGTGTGCAAGCGAATATCGTCTAATCATATTCTACCACTAACTTTGTCGATTGTACAACATACATGGGAGGATGGGAAGTCATTAATATAACAAGCAAAACATAAGTACTGTATTCCATAATCCCATATCTGAATCTGTATTTTTGCTTAATCCTTCAGAAAACAACTTAACATTACACTTATATAATATTATCAACGCAACGGTGTAAACGTATTTAAAGGGGAGTAGGTAGGCCATGAATGTAATCAATAATCAAGTTTAACTCTGATAATGATGATGAAAATCACTCTTTTTAACTTAGCCCCACACTAGGATTTTCTCCCGTATTGTGGGTGCGATCACAAACATACAAGTTCACATACACTTTAAGTTTAATATGATCCTATAATTAGTAAATAGACATTGGCCAGTACAGGGCCTCTATGTAAAACTTGACTAGTCCATGACTAAATTAAGCATGAAATGAATCAGCATGCCTTTGCAAGTTATAAAAATTCTGCTGATGATATAACGGCCATGAGTATATTATGACTGAGCTATGACTTGCGTTCACTCGAAACTATGACTGTTAATTATTTACGTTGACTGTTTACCGGCTGATGGTAATTGATACAAATTATATAGCAATCATTCATAGAAGGAACTGTATGTGTTAGAAAAGTGTATGTGTTAGGTATAAGTTTAGTTACCATTTTTATGTTTTTGATGACTTTAGGACACAATTAAATAAAAAAACATTTTATAAAATAAAATTTATATATTTCACAATGTTAACACAACCTCCAAATATGTTTATGTGCCAATCACTGATGTGTTTATACAAAGCACTTTCCCGTTTCTTTCAACTAGGGGTATTAGCGTACCTACTGCTATAGCCTAGTAAATAACATTTTTGCTGGAGATTCAACTATTTAACGAGTACCTATGTAACAGTACATTTACAGTAATACAGTGAATATAATAAATATAGGTTTTTTAAGTATTTGATTTTATATACATGACAATAATAGCGTTAAAATATAATTCGAGTATTTTGTTATAAAGAAGGCGTACACAATATATTGTAAAACAATTATCACATGTTCATGGTTAGTTAAGATCGTTTGAAGGGCATTCAGTTCTTATTAGGAAGCACCATACAGTTTAGGTAATGGATATCTCTGATCGCACGTAACATATAAATAACGTAACTAACGTATATTTATTATTACTTCATTGATTCAAAATCATTTTGTAATATTATACGAGGTTGAGAATTTGAGAAAATATTATCATAAACTGCGGGTTCACAGAAATAGTGGACAGACGATTTCAAATGTTACATATATGTATTGATTTTAAAAGAAGACAATTGATTTCTTTTTATAACTTAAAAACTTAAACAGGAACTTAAAAAAATATGTTAAACGCAGGCCAAGCCCAGGTAAAAAGGATAGAAGATTGTTAGATAAAAAAATTATCGCTATCTAAAATCTGTAGACAATGATAATAGTGACAGACAAAATATTTTGTAATGTCAACACTAATCAGAGATATCATCATAAGTCTCGATTTCTGAAGAGGCACAGATAATAAACTATCCTTCAACAGATAATAATTAAGTACTTCGTAACTTTGTATAATGGATTTTTAAATAAAATGTATAACGAGTTGTATATTGCACTAATTTGTACTATCCTAAGCTAAACGAAAATAATACTAATTAAGTACTTTTTGTGAGAGTAGTAATTCACCGTGCATAAAAAATTAGGACATTTTTTCTAGAGTATTTGAAAAACATTTAGAATTTTGAGACAATAAATCATTGGCTAACATAACAAGAACTTTTCTTTGCATCGTTTTTGATTCTACAACACCCATGTTAGCTCATTTTAGTATGCTAGATACATAATACAAAAAGTGCAGTCACTCACCATTGAGTTTTAATTAGCTGACAAAAAACATCAAGGTGTAGTTTCCTGATTTACGTGTTTTTCCACTAAGAAAAGAGTCATTTCTAACTCTGATTTACTATAAGTGCTTCACAATAACTAACAACAAACATCTATATAAATAAAATATTATATTAGAGCCTATTTCACGGTCGTACAACCCAGATCGCGCAACCGGAATTATGTACACCATTGTATGGAGAGAATCTCCGCTTGAATGAAGTTTTTGCGCAACCGATTGGTTGATGAGGATCAAAAACAACTATCACGTTTGTTTGGTGCCTTTCTGTAGACACGATGGTTGCGCGACTCATCGTGCGACCTAAGGTGTTCTAATCACTTAGGGCTCTTTTTATGCGCATTCGTGAGACATACAAAAATTAATTATAATGTTTTTCGACTTACTCACGTAATTATTTGACGAGGAACTCGACTAGTTTAGTTAGGAATGCTGCTCATGGATATGAGCCTCTAGCATGGCTTGAAACTAGCCGAGTTCCTCGTCAATAACTACGTGAATAAGCCGAATAACATAATAATTAACTTAGGACTCTTAGTGTTAAACATATACATATAAAAAATGATTTGAACCATTTTGGCTTATACTGAACATAAAGATAAATAAAAATAAGAGTAAAGAAGTAATATCATGAGGAATGTATAATTTCGACATTTATCTGACTTAGCTATCTAGTAACATGAAATAGCTTCTAAAATATGGAGTTACGAGAAATCCTTGTCATGCGTTTGGTTAAAGCATTCATTTATACTAAAATAGTTTGATTAATGGCATTATTATTTTGTTTAGAGGAAATATAGATTTAATAAAATATAATGTTTTGATTGATTTCCTATTCATATTACGCGTTTTTGTTTAATTAATGTAAAAATCAAAGATGTTTCACTAGGTGATCCAATTTTTGAAACAAATAAGATTATGATCAAAATACTTAATGCCATGTACACTTTTCATTTCACCATGTAATAACATAAATAGTGAAAAGTGTACAATGGCATAAGTGCCGTAATGTGCACCTCTGTCTACCCCATCGGGGATAAAAAAAGGCGTGTTGTTATGGCAATTCAGTTCTTTCATGACAAAATTGTTTATTATATTTATTCTAAACGAAGATGCTGATAATATTCTTTAATACGGAGCGGCTACGGCGGCGACCATCCATCCTACTAGGTATGACTTGCAAGAAAATATTGCTTCAACTTTTGATAAAAAATGTAAAATTATTATTAATTACGTTACATATTATTACGCAAGAGGGTATCTTATTCCCATTTATTTTATTTCTTCTTAATTTTAAATCGGTATTTTACTGACAGTTTTAATCATTTTAATATCCAATATCATAGGGGGTACATATCTATTTATCTTTTTTAACACATATTTGTAACCTTACCCCCTATAAATTGTAGATAACGAAAGTAAAATAAGAATTCTTGAAGTAAGCATGACTTGCTTGAAAAATTATTGTGTAAGAAAGTAGATAAATAATTGTTTATGCTATTTAATTACAAATTATTGTGCAAGAGATAAATTGCGCCCCCAAGAAAACCAGTTCTCATCTCCCGCGAAGTTTTTAAACAACGAACCACGCATTTTGAAATGCGAACAATTAATATTTTCTTCATTTCTAATTCACTGGATCACCATACGAAATAGTTTTAATGAAGTTATTGTACAAATAGGTAAATAATTATTTTTATTTCTTTTGACACATTATTAGATCTAAGCTTGCATGCACCAGCATATTTGTTATCGGATTATAATAGTTCAAACGTCATCGAAATCACTGCATAGATGTGATGTGAGTGGATACAATTATCGTTACACTGAGTGCGATGATCCATTCTAATAACTACCCTAGGCACTTAGCTGAATTTTGAAAATATTGAATAAGAGTTTGAAGTAGTTTTCGAAAATATCTGAAAACATTAGCCTTCTAATTTGTTTTGAACATTCTATGATCTAGGAGACAATATTGTGACGTTATATTACCGTGATTGTTCTAATATGTGAAGAGATACTGCTATAATCTTACTGTAGCTTCATTTCTTTATCATATTAGAACAAAAATGCAATAAAACATCATACCCCAATATTTCCTGACATTTCATTTCTATACTTAAAATCATTAAAGCAATTACCATTAAGTTTTCTTCTTAAATATGTTCTGTAAGTTCATATTTGATTTAGATTGTTGGAATATCTGCGTGACTCTCCTGCCGACCTCCTGTGCAGCTTGTAGGTTGGTGTTTGGTCGTGGTGGGGGTTCCCTCATCATGTCCCCGCTTGTTCCAGTACCCACTAAGTTGTGTATTAAGGCTTCTATAGCAGCTTTGTACTGAGATAACGCTGGCGTTTGTACGTTTTCTTCTAATTTTCTGTTGGTGACAAAATATTGTTGTTTAGAGGCTAATAATATACCTGTTGTACTCGAGGTTAAAGAAAGAAAAAGTGTTTAAAGATACCGTAGGACAAACCTTTCTGTGGATATAGTACACAATAATGACGAAAATGGACTGTGATTTTGGCAGTTACTGTTGTAACTATTGTCATATAGTAGGTACCGCCACCGACCTGAGTGCGGGCAGTAGTGCGGGGTGGTGCCGACAGTGGTGCACGGCGAGCTGCAGGCCGGCCGTCAGCGCCGACACGCACTCCCGCGCCGCGCGCTAACTATTGTCATATAGTAGGTACCGCCACCGACCTGAGTGCGGGCAGTAGTGCGGGGTGGTGCCGACAGTGGTGCACGGCGAGCTGCAGGCCGGCCGTCAGCGCCGACACGCACTCCCGCGCCGCGCGCTAACTATTGTCATATAGTAGGTACCGCCACCGACCTGAGTGCGGGCAGTAGTGCGGGGTGGTGCCGACAGTGGTGCACGGCGAGCTGCAGGCCGGCCGTCAGCGCCGACACGCACTCCCGCGCCGCGCGCTAACTATTGTCATATAGTAGGTACCGCCACCGACCTGAGTGCGGGCAGTAGTGCGGGGTGGTGCCGACAGTGGTGCACGGCGAGCTGCAGGCCGGCCGTCAGCGCCGACACGCACTCCCGCGCCGCGCGCTAACTATTGTCATATAGTAGGTACCGCCACCGACCTGAGTGCGGGCAGTAGTGCGGGGTGGTGCCGACAGTGGTGCACGGCGAGCTGCAGGCCGGCCGTCAGCGCCGACACGCACTCCCGCGCCGCGCGCTAACTATTGTCATATAGTAGGTACCGCCACCGACCTGAGTGCGGGCAGTAGTGCGGGGTGGTGCCGACAGTGGTGCACGGCGAGCTGCAGGCCGGCCGTCAGCGCCGACACGCACTCCCGCGCCGCGCGCCCCGCGCACAGCGCGCACAGCAGGGACACCGCTACAACACAAACACTACTGTACGAAACTAACAATGACATCATTCTTATAATTCATATACTAACATCATTCTTATACTATTATCTACATCAGCAAGAAGATATCCATTGCTAAACAAAGACCTCTCCGTTAAAAGGATTGTCGCCATCCTCGTTGACAACCCTTTTTTAATGTTAGATAGATACTTTGAGGGCCGCTGTTAGATCGCTGAAAATGCACAGAATATTGCCTGTCAGTCGGAGGCTGATGACAATTTTTTTTAATGGCATAAAGCCGGTAAAAGAGCTGACGGATCACCTGATGGTAAGCAATCGGCGCCGCCCATGGACACCTGAAACACCAGAGGCGTTAAAAATGCGTTACCGGCCTTTGGGGATTGAGTTGGATCGTGAATCCCCATTCAGGAATTGGGGAGATTGGGAAAGGGGAGGGTAATTGGGTTTCCCGGTAACCTCACTCACACGACGAAACACAACGCAAGCGTTGCTTCACGTCGGTTTTCTGTGAGGCCGTGGTATCACTCCGGTCGAACCGGCCCATTCGTGCCAAAGCATGGCTCTCCCACACTTAAATTTTTGACTAAATGTGGTAATTTTATTTTTTATACCACGACGGTGGCAAAAAAGCACACGGCCCACCTGATGGTAAGCGGTTACCGTGGCCTATGTACGCCTGCAACACTTGGGGCATTACATGCGTCTTGCCGACCCTTAAAAAACCTATTCACCGCCCTCTTGAAGAACCTCATGTTGTAGCCCACTGGGAAAACCACGGCAGGGAGCTCATTCCACAATCGGAGGGTCGATACCGCTCGTAAGTATAGGATCGTCAACAAGTCTTACAGCTCTCCTTTGGACCGCGTCAAAAGGTCCAAGCTGGTATGCTGGCGCTCCTGCCCAGAGATGAGAGCAGTACT